ATATACAGTCAAAAACCAATAACTGAATAATCACACCGAAATTATGGTCATAGTTTCACTGTAAAGGGGTTTTATGTCAAGGCATAGTACTAAAGGTTTGCCTGATGCAACACCCCCACTCAGCGACCTTTCACAGTATCACAACGGTGTAAATGAACCATTAGCCGGTTTGTCTGTTATATGACACGCTGGACCTGCATCTTTTATAGTTTGATCTTACGTTTATCTCACACTGTAAAAACAAACAAACAAAAAACCTCTTCACCATTTACACACACATACGATTAAAAGAAATACTAATCTGCATAGCAGAAAGTTATCATAGCCTCTTGCTTCGTGACAAAAATGTCCTAAGACAAACAAATTTGCATTATTTATTACTTGATAATAAATAGTCTGGCAAATAAAAATAACAGGTTGCAGCTTACAATGCGTTACTTACAAGCATGGTTATCTTAACACGGCTATTTTTAACACAATGACTAAAGCTAGCTTTAAGTGCTAGTTTACACACCTCTTTCGTTGTAGCAGTGCTTTCAACGCCAAGTAAACCGTACAGATCCATCTGTAGGATATCTTTAGCCTTTCCGGACATTTCTGCCAAAACGCGCTACAGTACCAATACACAAAAATAATAAATATACCACTATTTAAAACAGCTGTTTTGCTAGCTATTTAGCTTCGTGTTGTGGTTCCAGGCAGCATGAGTGTGACGTCCTCAACCTTTCAACCAGGATGTGCATTGCAAACTGGGTATTGTAGTTTTTGGGTCTCCTTGCTCTTCTCTAGGTTCCTGAAAAGCTCCCTCACGGAATTTTTATTATTTTTACTGTAGCGTTTATTATTTTTATATCCGATAAATTTTTTCCACAAGTATTAATCTTCTAAAATCTTTTGACCCATCTGTGGGCTCTAAGGGCTGTTCACGCGTGACAAATCCCACATCCAAAGCTTCACTGCATAGATGGCTATTTTTATCTTGCTGTCAGGTGTGAAATTAGTTATTTAGAACAATATCCTGCCGGGCATTAAAGCCCCACTGTGTATTTAACCACAAGACATAAACGGTATTTAACATTTTAAATTATTTATTTTGTTTAAGTAAAAGAGACTTCCTGTGCCATACTTATGTGCCTGTTTTCTATCAGCATATTGTTCACATTAGCCTCATTTTACTGTATTTTTTGATATTGCTAATGATGATGTTCGGGGATTAAAAGCCACATGTAGGCTCCTTGTTTAAATAAAATACTGGATTTCATTAATTTTGCGCGCACACGTCCTTCCCAAGGCACCCTAATAACATTGTTTCGACATTTAAATTTGGATAAGAAACTTATCCAAGCCCATCAAGATCAACGAGACCACAGCGTCTTCTGGTGGACGAATTATGTAACAGCAGGCAGCACAGTACAGTACATATTAACACGTTTACCTACTGTTTGATTAAGTTTAGTCCACCAAGAAATGTGTTTACAAAAGCCGTGTTTATATCGATTTGAGGACCCAGGCTCCACCTTTATTTCCATTTAGATTCATTGTGTGGCCCACTAAACTGACATTTTAGCCCATTAAACTTGCTCCATCTTGTCTCCGATGCAAAATGTAAACAGACACCTCAGTGCTACATGTGGTTTTTTTCCTGTGGATATAAATCCATCTGTGGCCTAATGGCATAGGTTTTACATATCTGTTAACCAAGATGTGGTCTGAGGCTGCACCACTTCCTGTAGGGAACTTCCCCTGACATGTACAAAAACAGCTTTCTTTTTCTTAAATTTTTGTGGGGGAATTTTTCGATGATGAAAAAGCCACCTGTTACATACAGACGGTTTAGAAATATTGTGACGACTCTGTCCCTTCAGATTGTGTAAAAAGGCAGGCTTCTTTCAGTTTAAAATGTCTTTGCAAAGCACAACTTTTTTTGTCCTTCAGGCACACTGAGGATAAACAGGACTGAAAAAGAAGTCATAAGATGTGGCCCAAGTATAAAAGGTTATCCAACAGGACTAGTGCAACAATGTTTCTCAAAGAGTTAACCCAAAGGCAGTGATTTCTAAACCATAAACGAATACAGTCATGGCAAAAAATAAAGTACACTCTATTTCAATTCTAAGGTTTTACGTATCAGGACATAATTTATAAAAATCTGTTTATTACTGGGTCTTAAAATTGTTTAAGTACAACCTTAGAAGAACAACAACACATGACTTTATTACATTATTTATCTGACAAAAAATAAACCAAAATGCAGAAGCAATATATGAAAAAATGAGGAATGTATTTGCACACCTTGACTATTTTCTTTTATATATTTTCTGTTGTAGATTTACTGTGTCCTTATGATAAATGACCCAATTTGAGCCAAGGTTTAGCTGTCAAACAGATCCTCACATATTCGACTCCAGAATACTTTGGTATACAGAGGAGTTCATGGTCGTCTCAGTGACTGCAAGGTGACCAAGTCCTGTGGCTGTAGAACAAGCCCAAATCATCGTCCCTCCACCACCGTGCTTCACAGTTTGTAAGAGGGGTTTGTGCCGATCGATGTGTTTGCTTTTCACTGTGCATCTCCACTTTGTTCTCACCTGTCAAAGCACCATTCCAGAAGTCTTGTGGTTTGTCCAGATGCAACTTTGCAAACCTGAGCCACGTGCCTTATTTTTAGAGAGAAGAAACTTTTCCAAACAAGCCATACATGTCTAGCCTTTTTCTAATTGTACGGTCATGAACTTTAACCTTTAACATGCTAACTGAGGACTGTAGAGTCTGAGATGTAAGTTTGGGGGTTTTTGCAGTTTCTCTGAGCATTGCACGGTCTGACCTTGGGGTGAATTTACTGTGACGTCCACGCTTTGGACGTTTGGCATCTGTCTCGAACGTTTTCCACTTAAGTGAGATGCTCACACTTACTGATGATTAGCACCTGACTACAACTTACCCTCTTAATCCCCCACTGTAGCACATTATAGCAGTAAGGGTGGATTTTCCACACACTTCTCTAATAGTTCCTTATTTTTTGTTAAGTACATTGATCTGATAATTAAATATAAATAAGTTTAAGACCCTGTAAGGACCTCAACACATCAAATGCTGAATGTGAGACGTTTATAGTCATCTGTAAAATATATGCTTGTGTTTAATGTGATGATGATGATGATTTTCTTGTAACGATGGGACAGGAGAAAGTGTTGCAATATGTAACCACATGATATACTCAAAGCCAAGGAGGAAAAGTCTCGATGTTTAATAAGCAAAAAGATTTCCCATGTTTGCTTAAATTTGAGGTGCTCAGCAGTTCATGGCCTCTGTTGGATTTTCCAAATCATGATGCATCAAATGTCTTCAGTTCATGGCAGGTCAGGCAGGCCAGTTTTACACAAGACACCCTTTAGAGCCACAGTGTATCTCCAGTACGTGGTTTGTAATTGTCTTGCTGAAACAAGTAATTTTACATATTCAGCATCATGTATCCAGTATATCCACTACCACTCCTCTGCATTTGTCCATACCGTTTTAACCTTCCCTTTCACTCTTCCTCCTATCCTTCCATCACAAATCACCCCTGACACTCAACACCACCCTACCTGCACTCTCTTCTCCACCTGTCTTGTGCACCATCCATTGCTTTGGGTGGTTGATCCCAGATATTTAAACTACTTCCACCTTCACTACCTCTACTCTTTGCAGCCTCACTGTTACAGTTGTCTCCCTCTCATTTACACACATGTAGTTATTCTTGCTTCTACCGACTTTCATTCCTCTTTTCTCCTGTGGATACCTCCAACTCTCCAGGTCCCCTCCTCAAAGCAAACATCACATCTGTAGTGCTCATTCTTGCTATGAAGACACACTTTTGCTTCACTGATTGTCACCTCTCCTCTTAGTGTCCTCCATCGCTCCAAAATTGTGTTAAACAGCCTGGTTAAAAAGTACAGTGCTCTCTCTCTCTCTCTCTCTCTCTCGCTCTCTCTCGCTCCCTCTCTCAGACATTAGTTCAAAGGACCAAATACCTCATCCACCCTTCATCCTTTCTATAGCTTCCCCGCCCTCCTCCACACATAATGAATAGTAATCCATCCTCCTCTTGCTCCTTTCTTCATTCATCAGCTTCAGCTGTATCCAGTGTGCGTTACAGTACACTGGATACAGCTGAAGCCTGTGTTGTTGTACTGTACAATGAAGCTGAATTTGACTTTGAAGGTCAGATATTTGATTCCTGCTGATGTTTCTTGATCCTGTTCAACAAGCTCAGCTAGTGAGCTGCTCATTATGAGTTCATAATATTTGCTCAGTGGCTTATGTTTAGACCAAACCATCCCTGTGTATTGCAGCTATCCTGCATAGTCTCCATTAGGAGAGATACAGACACGTGATACTCATGCTGCTCATTTCTCATTTTTTTCATTCTCCTTCACAATAACAAAAACTCTTGTGCTGGTGAAACGTTGCTGTCTAAAGCATCACAAGTTTTCATATATCTACCCTTTTGTTAAGGCAGTGGAATTCTAGCAAGCTAAGTAGCCCCAAGACATGAAGGATAACTGCTTTTATTAGTGAAGCAGTGGATTTGTTGAAAGACTTCCCTAAAATCACTGAAGCTAAAAATCTTAGAGAAAAGATTATGTCTAAGTGTCTTCGGGTTATTTCTGTGTCGTGGATTCAGATGATTCCAGATTGTGTTAAAATTAAAAATGCCCCCTTCCATAGAATAAAGAAGGATGACTAATTTCCTCTAAATCAGACTTGGAAATACTGCTACGTGTTGTACACAAGGTTCCTGGGAGCAGTTAGACCTGCAGAAGTCTGGTTATTATTTCATCAGTTGTGAGATAACCACATTAACTCAAGACTATAATAGGATTGTGCTCTGCCACTGCGCTGTGTGCTGCAAGGAGTCGCTGATTGATTCGGAGAAGTTATTTTCCCTCCCACAACTGGCTGCCTGAAGCAGAGGTCCAGCTGATGGGATGGGTGAGTGTGGGAGCAGGCAACCACTGACTGCCTTCAGCAGCTAAAAAGGACTCAAGTTGCACGCAGTAGGGACCGGAAATCGAGTAGCTTTGGCTTAAAAATAAAACATAGAGAGCCTTTTACCCATCCACGTTAGTATTTTTAACAGCATTTAAAACCGTATATACACGTATTCTGATCATAAACTGCAGGCATACGATATGGAGATAGTTCTCTTTCTGTTAGTGTGTAATTTTCTGCCAACTAAAAGTCATCTCAAGACTAAATTTTGTTTGTTTGTTTGTTTGTTTGTTGTACTTAAGTCCCAGTGGTAGGGCAATTGTTGCTGTAAGGGCTGGCTTTGGTTTAAAAACGTCGTTTTTAATTATACAACAACAATTTTAATAGCAATATTTTTAAACGATTATTATTATTATTATTATTCATTCAAATGTATTTATGTACTATTATTTTATCCTTTTTTATTATAGTGTAACCACATTTCAGGCGTTTGCGGTTTCTTCGCTGTTGAGTTTATTCTGAAAGTCCAAAGCGGATGTGTGGGCACACTAATGACGCTGCTTTGACATCGTCGCTGTTTCACAACTGTGTGGAAGCAGAGGGGCTGTAGCGACTTGAAAGGGACCATCGCATACCATGAGGGACTGACCTGCCGCACAGTGCCGATATTTTAGAGGTCCTGGTCTCGTCTTTTTTCCTCAGTAATGAGAGTCTGGATGACCGCAAAGCGCCCCCCTAAACGAGACACTGCCGAG